AAGAAAAATTGAACTGTTAAACCTGTCAAAATGACTTAAAAATGTCCTTAATTACAACATTGATCAAATGGATTTCCATAAACAAGAATTTATTAATCGTTAATCAACACTGAGGGTATGATAGACAGGTAAAATGCATCATGGATTTTCTCAAGTGAAGGTTTTATTTGTGAACAATATCTAATTCTCCATCATTATAGATCCCATTATCAACTCTGTGGTATAATCATGCACAAAACTACCTAAAGGCATCGCATCTAGAGTGATGGGTTGGTAAGACCTGTGAAGATCAGGGTTAGAATAGGTCTTCAGCAACCCATGCGAGTATGCTTGTTGTAAGAGGTGACTAACAGGAGTGGTTGGTCAGGCCCGCCAACTTGGTTGATGCATGTCATTGTATACCAATTATGTGGATCGATGTTCATGATGTCAATCACTGGATTGTCTGGTCCGGACTTACTTTTCTTCTTTAAGCTTGGATATTGATGTAATGCAATAAAACACATACGTGCAACACACCCTTCTCATCCATGCACACATTTGGAATCTTCATTAAGAAAAGATGTTTGAAAACTATCCTTTAACTTGTTTAACCGTGTTAACAGTAACATTAATAGTACCACCACTTGTTGCTAGAGGCATGTCGGGGGGTTTCTAGGTAAGAATAGTCACAAGTCCCTAGTACCTCAGGCTTCTAAAGCCGGCTAAATGAGGATTGGGTGTTGAGAATTGTTTTGGTAGATTCTGTGTTTTCTTGTTCATGTTTTCAGTCACTGTTAGCCTGGTCCAGAATTTCCACAGGACAATGTAATACAGCTGGAGTATTGTCAACTGCTAGCTGTTGGTGTTTATACTTATCAAATTGATGTTAAAGGTGAGGTGAAATGGGGCTTGGGGTTTAACATGTTCAAGATTATTGCACTTGTATAACAACGTGCACATGTGGCTGCTTGTACTAGTCCAGACTAGCAAGTATTACACTGTAATAGTGCTAGCTCACCATGTTGCAGTTTAACACAGATACGTCACCAGTTTAACACAGATACCTCACTCAGACAGTCTACAGATGCCGAGCTGACCAGTCTTTGTCTTATCCCCTTATTGCCAAGCGCCAGGCAGGGCAACAACACGTAACATCTCTTAATGTCTTTTGGAAAGCAGCTTGGGATCAAACCGACCTGTCATTCTCCAGGCAGAAGCTCTATCCATCAGACCACAAGATTCATGTTAAAGGCTTAGCTATGATCATGACGATAGCATTGTTTATATTACGTTCATAGATTTACAAGCATTGCTTGTTGTATAACACCATACTCAGCAATCTTCCAGCCATATGACGTTGGTCTCTAAATAAACAAGTGTGGACCAGACAATCCAGTGATTGATATATCATGAGCATTGATCTACACATTTGGGATACGATGACATACATTAACCAAGTCACCAAGCCTGACCACCCTATCCCGTTAGTCGCCTCTTACTACAAGAATTGGTTCCTGAAGACCTATTCTAACCCGAATCTTCACAGGTTTCACAAGCATTGAAGCAACGAGTCCGAGAAAGCTAACGAACTGTAAACAGACTTTTCGGTAAGTCGAGGCTAATAGCATACTAGTCAACACGGAATAGAAGATAGCATTGCTAATTTGCAAGTAAATAAGGCATCCTTGTAATCTTGAAGATTAATATAACACGTGTATGAGCATTGTAAAATGTGTAAACGTTATACGAAGTCATAATTACAACATGATGTCATTCTTGGATCATGAAATAGATCGAAACTTCTAAGTGCTTCACATGTTTCCGTAGTGTCTGGAGAGTCATAAGGTTACACTTACAGTTAAATATAAGTTTCCAAAGAATAACATGAATGAGAAAAATGACACATAAACTTACTTTCACCAAAAGCCTCAGATAGATATCCTGGCTCCTGGGCTGGGTCCTTCTGACCTTTCGGTCATACTTATGTGTAATGTCTATACCCTAAAAAGAAAAGAAAACGATAGTTTAATCATTGTACTTTCAGAAAATATTTATTACTTGAAGTTCAAACAACTGATTGGCACGATACAAGGACGATGATTAGACATGTATTGATGTCTACATGCTCACCATCTTTGGGGTCTTGTTGAAAGGAAGTTGCAAGGGATTTTGGGAAATATTCAAGGGAGGTTACTCTCAGCTAAACATTCATGAGCTCTTGATTCGAAGCGCAGTTATACTAAATCATAACTGATATGTATTTTTGAATATCGATAAATTAATCTGAGATATCCTATGGGTTATTTTGTATTTAGAAATATCAAATTTGTGATAGATCTAGCTCTAGATCTATCTAAAAATGAAATCTTATTGTCGAATTTCCGAATTTGTTATATCAATTTTTCAATAAATCAATTATTGACATAATGAAAAGGCAAATAAACCGGCGCCTTATTCTAGGAGTAATCACTGTCATGAGAAAACATGCATTTTCAATGTTTACCAGTCTTGCAACACGGGAGGTTTTTTTCTACTGCGACATTCAACAAATCAATTGTGCGTTGCGATGCTTTTTGCATTAATGTCTACACCGAGAATGAGCTCCACACATTGTACCCATTTGGGAATCGAACCCGGGTCTTCGGCGTGACTGCGAACGGTTTATCCACAGGGCTACCCAACCGCTCCGATGTAACTAATCCCACATAAAATCCTGCGTTTTATGTAGTAATATTCAAGAGTTTTTAAAAATAATGTGTTTTACTTGTGCTGAAATTATATCGCAAAATCGGATTTTTCGTCATTGGCAGTTATGGGTTATAGAGAAAACAACCCCTTGCATGAAAATGTAAAGTAATGGGAATTGTGTGTTATAAAGAAATCACTACACAATTAACATGCCCACTCTAATTATGTGTCCACATACATATATATATTTATGCGAGACAGTGTTAATGAGAGTGAGCATTCTGTTTCCACCATCGAGTGTCCAGTGTATAATATTCCCATTCTGTTACATCTACCATGGTAGAATGAAAACTAATACACAGGATAATCGAGTGCTGCTCTTGTAAATTTCTTTTTTAAGCCATGATGCAACTCGAGAAACACGAGAAAACAGGTTAAGGTTGGAGTTACAGAGTTGAACGGTCGGCCCTAATTATTTATATAAACTTGTCATAAATCCATTATTACACACAAGTAATAATTATATAAGCTGGTCAAGTGGGCGACACACGCGAGTATGTTTTTGTTGTCTATAGCTGGTAAGAGGAAATGCTTGACAAGTCGTGGTCCGTCTGCATATATCAACATACAGGACAGTTCATGTTGTCTTAACCATTTGGAAGACATTTGTGGCTGTAATGGCTGTAAAAAGATGAGTGGCCTTTGCTTTTTTAACCCACTTCCGTGGTTCTTTATTATTTACAGCTGAATTATTATGTTACAATTAAAATTCTAAGATAATTTACATGTGAAGATCCGGGTTAGAATAGGTCTTCAGCTACCCACGCTTGTCGTAAAAGGCGACTAACGGGATCGGGTGGTCAGGCACGCCCACTTGGTGGATGCATGTCATCGTATCCCAAATGCGTGGATCGATGTTCATGATGTCAATCACTGGATTGTCTGACCCAGACTCGATTATTTACAGAATATAGCTGGATTATCGCTTAGTGCGGCGTAAAACACCATCGAACAAACAAGTTTATATAATGTAATACGAAAACATTGTTACCTTTAGAAGTGTCATAAAATCTGTCATATGGCCCTGAAGAACATACCTTGAACCTCCGGCGATGGGCTGAACTTGACGCTCATCAGTATATATTTGTGTACATTTAGACAGCATTGATACATATAATTTATATTTGTATTGTGATCATATGATAGAAAGATAGATCAAAACATTTGCAAAGTCGCTAACAATTACTTATAAAAGAAGAGACAGAAAGCAATGTTTACCTGATGGTAAAAGTCTCTGAATATTTGCCTTCGGATGTGATTCTTTTTGTTTCATTTATAAACTTCCACCAGAGTCTCTAATGTCTTCTGTATCTTAGTTCCATAGATCATACCAAAGGTACGCGGGTACAAACAAACCATTGTATACATGTTCACATACCGGTTAACCGGTTCACATACTGCTGAACAAACTTTGAAATCACGACCTGGTAAATGAACCCGCAAATCTGCATAATCCGTGCAGTTGATATAACAGCAGGAGGGCTGGAAAGTTTGCCACAGTCCATCTATCTGTCGAGTCGAGGTGGTGCACTGACGAATGAATACACTTGGAGCGTGGACTCTGCCAGTGAAGTGACCTTCAGCAACCCATGCTTGTCGTAAGAAGCAACTAACGGGATCGGGTGGTCAGGCTCGTGACTCAGTTTAGTCATGTCATCGTATCTCATGATGCTCATGATGTCAGTCGCTGTATTGTCTGGTCCAGACTCGATTATTTACAGACCGCCGCCATATAGCTGGAATATTGCTGAATGCGGCGTCACACAACAAACAAACAGAGACTTGAATGCTTGTGCACGGCAGTCCCTTGTTCAACGGAAGTTGGTTCTTACCCAACAGCCCCAACATTCCGTTCACGCCGGTGTTTCTTAAGTTCGATAAGCAGTATTCTGAGTTCGATAAACAATATATTAGTGTAATTTAATGTATCCCCTTGTTATTGGTTTTCGGACACTTAAGAAACATTCGTAGATTTCTCTCTAATCACATGAACAACTGTAAAACACCTAATCACTAATAAAAGGAAACGTTCTCTTAAAAACAAGCCATCATCGGAATATTTATAATGTCTGTGTGATGCTAAAACCCGTTATATCGCGACTAGCCGCGATGAACATGGCCGTCCGAAAACGCATCATGTCCACAAACGGTAGAAAAACAACTTACAAACCACTGAAATGTTTGTCACGGGTTTGAAAAGTCGAAAAGTACTTGCAGAGTAGCGTCCCTTTGAACAGACAATGTCACTATGGCGACGTTTTCATTCGTCATCGACGTTCGCTGAATGTGCACGCGCAAAGTACATTGTCCCTGCTTTTGTTGCCAATAGATTGTTTTATACATCTCCCGGACTTATCAAACTCTCCCCAAACAGAAGATTATGTCTGGTAGGTGATAATTTGAAACTGATGTCAATTTGTCTTCAGTGAGAACGTGAATGGTATGATTTTAATACTTTCTCACATTCTTGATTGTTATGAATGAGTTTACGTTTCCCTCCAGACATATGGCACAAACATAGTGTTAATAGATGTTGTCACGTGTTCTGTATATTCCTCATTTGTAAGTAAGTTAATACCAGACGTAGTTTACCTGGAATCAAACACAGTCCTTCAGCGCCTTCAAAGTTGATACGGCCATCATATTGGTGTAGATCTACTTCGAAAAGGAACCGTGTACTTCAGTAAAGAAAACGTTTGAAATATCAAGCAGATCTTGAATTTATTATTCATCATTTCATGTCTGACCTGGTTTTAATGTATTTATTCCTTACCATCGGCAGCCCTTAAACTTGGTCTTGCGTCTGTACGGAGACTCCCTTCTACCATCGCCGGACATGCCGCCCAAAAGGTAGGTAACTATTTTACATATGCTTGTTCTTCTTCACAAAAGCCAGTACATTCAACACATGGAACACGCAAAAAAATAGTTCAGATACGAATTTTAAAGGGTGGTTTTTGAGGGAAACACATTTCTCAACAAATAAGAAGGCATGCAGAGATTCAATAAGACGACAGTAATTGAATAGGAAGGCGGCGATGAAACAATTTAGCTCACGTACGCGCTTAAACATTTGGTATATATTAGAACTTGCTCATTGTGTGTCTTTGTGTCTACTTTATATCAGATGTTAGAAGCAATGGATACGCTGCCTGCTTTTGGACCAAGTCAGTTCAGCATCTTCGGGGTAAGATCTAGATTTCCTGATATCCGTCGCTGTTGTCAATTACATTTGGGGGTTCTATTAAGACGATATTGTATGGAGAAGGATGAACTATATTTATGATAATATTTATATTATGATCCCATTAGGATTAGATTGTTACCCTGTTTACATGTTGTTTAACGCCGCACAGTATTCCAGGTATATGGCGGCAGCCTGTAAATAATCGAGTTCAGGACTAAGCATGTATTACATGCATAAACTCAACATGAACATATACTACTATTGCTTTCTCTTGTATTTCCATAAGATCGGCACATGGGAGGGAGGCTGTTCATACACGTGCTCTTATTTCAGGTAGAAGCAATGGATACCCAACCTTACACAGGGCACAGCCAGTTTAGTATATTTTCGGTATGTATCTTTATGTTTTCATTGTTACTCTTTCTATACAATCTGGCAGTGGGAAAGATGGTGTTTGTAACAGCAGACCCATGGATCGTATCATAATGTTTACTTGTTTGTTTATTTCAGACCATTGACATGGACACAGCACCCGCGATGGGACATGGGCAGTTCAGCATCTTTGCCAAGGTAAGAAACCTTATTTCTAATTTCTAACACCTCAAGTTGAAATTTCTTTCAAATACTCTACACCACTAAACATATACCACCTTGAACAAGTGGACATGTAAAAGTACACATCTGATGGTATTTCCTCTCTTCAGCAATTGTTCCATGTTGTTATTACTATATCATTTTTTAATTTGAAGTTTACACGATATACTGCTTTTCCATTTGACGAGAGGTCGGTCACATGACCGCGAAATTGACGTTCATAAGTGTATGAACGACATAATGTGACGTTTATACTTTTTTCACGAGACCGTGTTCTTGAAATGACGTAAACACTGATGAACTACTTCCACATTCCTGGGGAAACCCCTAGCACGAAAACATGCATTAGCCTTCTTTCTGATCATTTTGAACCTTTATTCTTGGTTTCAGGGTTTCAGTGTACATTGAGAAATGTCAGAGAGTGTGACTGCATGATTGTTCACGATTATCCCCGCTACGGCCCATCCTAACATGCCTAATGAACAAACGAAGAAATGCACATCTAAACTATCGAAGTATCGACTCGATCCGTGCCTAGGCTGACATTGACCGTCTCCAGCAATCTATGAATTTACCTTTGTGTCTGTTTGACGCATCTTTATTCACCTTTCAATGATCGGCCAGTTGATCAATGATGACTTACACATGTAACCGGCACAGGTTCATTAACAACTTCGGAAATCTCTCCCGTCACGTTTATCGTGTCGGCCATTTTGACGTCTTGTACATGATGTAAATGTATTACGATGCGCTGTCATTGTGACTGACTTACTGAGGTAGTTCTTTACATACCTTTCTCATCTAATGAGGATACGATTTGAACACATGTGCTGCGTAAGATGTTTCTGAAGAGCAAGTTGTGCATCCATACGCCCATGTCACCTCTCATTTTGAGGAACTATTTTACTCCGCGATATAGCTGGTTGTTGTATGTCTGTCAGTGTAAACGTGAAGTCGCACGTACTAAACAAAATTGTGTTTAGATCTTGGCCTACATCCTTTGAGGTAAGAAATTGTGATAAAAAAATTATAAGAATTGACTTTCACTTTGTGTGAGTTTATTGGAGTATGAACCTTCATAGAGTGAGGGCAAGCTCCGACGTTCATACAGTATGGCCCTCACTCTTTCAAGGTTCATACTCCAGTGAACTCACACAAAGTGAAGGTCAATTCTTAAATGTTTATTGATAAACATCTTATTTTAAAAAATATGTTGGTATGTTCTTAAAAATATCAAACATGTGATCATAAATAGTAATATTGGTATGCATGTTTATTATTACTTTACATTTATTGATTATTATATTGATATTTAAACAAGAGTCATCCGAAGATGACATATCCCTCCGACGTGGCATGTCGGTAAACTGTGTGTACCTTCAAATGTTTTTAGATTGGCAGGGAAATCTTTTTCCTTGATGCCAAAAACAGAAATATAATGAAGGTTATTAAATATTGGTTCATGTAGCTCACTTTCTGATGATCTCAAATGTCAGGGGCTACAAATTAAAAAGATTAAAATCTATAAATAACAAACTGAACTACTAGTGAAAAAATAGCTTCCTACATAATCTATGAGTTAATATATATTTATAATGCTGTGTAGCAGAATATTTCCACCTCATAATTAATAAATAATGTGTGCATGGATTCTTTACAATATGATGCATGTGATCTACAATGTTATACTGTTGTTACACATTGTGATTATTACAATACATCTGTTGATATTTGGATTGTTATTTTTTGATAAAGCTTATTGTATTGTTAACGTATATTGTCTGTCTATTGTTTCCATAATGGAACTGTTGTAGTGCACTTGCTAACTGTCAGCTACAACTGGGAAGTAACCTATACACTCCACACACTAATATTATAGATAATAATAAAAAAAACTACATCTATAAGCTTGAATAAACCTTATCACTCTTCCAGTGGCCTACTGTTGGGAATGTGTGTATATAGTGACTGGGACATGCTGTTGTCCATTGACTCGTTAAACCGGATTATATCACTGGGGATTGGACAATGAAGAATAACGGGGTTTCAACCTCGATTATTCAGTGTACAATAGTCCTATTCTATTCCATCTAGAATGGCCGTGTCATACCAAAAGACGTTGAAAGATGGTACTAGTTACCCTGCCTGACGCTCGGTATTAAGGGGCTAATACAAGGACTGGTCGTCCCGGAGTCTCGGTATACATGTTAAACTCAGGCATGGTATCTCAGTGGATTAGCAATATTAAAATCGGAATTAGTCGGGACACACGCGCGGACACACACACACTAACACCCACACACTAACACCCACACACTCTCTCTCTCTCTCTCACACACACACACACACTCTCTCTCTCTCTCTCTCTCTCTCTCTCTCTCTCTCTCTCTCTGATCATAATATCAATCACTGGTTTGTTTGATCCAGACCTGGTTATTTACAGGAAAACGTAATTTTGCATGAGTATTGCTGAGGACTGCTTAACACAACAGTTAACAAACGAACTTTCAGCAATACCCAAGGCATGACACGACGAGGACACCAAAGATTTGCTTTGCACATTGTGCCCATTTGAAGAATCTTGGTGATGAGTGAACTACTCTATACTAATCGGACCTGACACGTGACGGTCTGGGTTAGTGGGAGTGAGTGAGTTCGGTTTTACGCCGCTTTTAGCAATATTCCAGCAATATCACGGCGGGAATCGAACCCAGGTATTCGGCGTGACGAGTTAACGCTTTAACCATTAGGCCACCCGACCAACCCCCGGTCTTGGTTAGAATTGGTCTTCAGCAACTCATGCTTGTCGAAAGAGACGACTAATGGGATCGGGTGGTCAAGCTCTCTGACTTGGTTGATGCACGTCATCGTATCCGAATGGAGTAGATCAATGCTCATGTCAATCACTAAATAGTCTTGTTCAGAGTCGATACAATTTACAGACCGCCATCACATTGCTGGAATGTTGGTGAGTGCGTTGGTAAACAACAAACAAGTTAATCGGCCCCTATGGTAAGAAGCAGAACTGTTCCCCAATTAATATCTCTCGCATGTCGTTTTCTAGACTATTAACCCCACGTTGAATTAGCGTAACCTATGTTACAGAAATTCCGTGGTAGAATTCTTCCCTGCAGTAACCTATGTTACAGAAATTCCGTGGTAGAATTGGTCCCTGCAGTAACCTATGTTACAGAAATTCCGTGGTAGAATTGGCTCCCGCAGTAACCTATGTTACAGACATGCCGTGGTAGAATTGGTCCCTGCAGTAACCTATGTCACAGGAATTCCGTGGTAGAATTGGTCCCTGCAGTAACCTATGTTACAGAAATGCCGTGGTACAATATCGGCCCCTGCAGTAACCTGTGTTACAGAAATGCCGTGGTACAACATCGGTCCCTGCAGTAACCTGTGTTACAGAAATGCCGTGGTACAATATCGGTCCCTGCAGTAACCTGTGTTACAGAAATGCCGTGGTAGAATTGATCCCTTCAGTAACCTATGTTCCACAAATCCATGGCAGAATTGGTCCCTGCAGTTAACTATGGGTAATAAATATAATACCACACTCATTCCCGTAAGATATCATTTTTACGAAACGAATGGACGAGTCTGACAGAGCGAAAGCGTTAAATATGTATTATGTGTAAATATATAACAACTTTGTTCGTTGACAAACCAAACTGAAACCGGTGGCAAAATCTGGTTGCTCATGAATATTGACATTTGCCCAAATGTGGGCATTGTTGACATTTCTATGCATACACATTAACAACATGCACGTGCAGTTGTGTTTGCAAACAAAACAGCACTGACGCTCAAGTTCCTTTTGGAAGAAATTCTCCAACTTATGGTAATTCAAGCGCCATGTTGTTAGTACGCAGGACACCTATAAGAGAATTTAAAAAGTCACATTAGCGCCGCGCTTTGAATATTGGACCAACAGTCGGTCACTCGCACTGCCGGGATCCCGTCCGTGCAATCAAAATGGTTCGGTTTCCTTGATCTATCAGCTGAATTTATATAATGTCCTTACCATTTTGGAAGAAGGAAATCAAAGTGTTCGCCAAACACATTCATGTTAACTGTACCACCCTATACTGAAGACGTGAAAATAAAACAAACTCAAGTCTGCTTGCATGTCTGTGACAGCTTCGAACGATCGAAGGGCAAGGTCACCAACGGAATAAGAAAAAACAACCGTCATCTACCTCACTGCGTTTTACGCTAGAGATAGGGAGTGTCATTGTTCACATTTGGGATGTTTGGGGCCACAAAATCAGAAGTCATGCACACTTCTACGAAGTTTTCGAATGATTTGTATCGGAATTAGTGATTTGGTCGGGAGTCGTGTACGTTCATTCATGAACACCTCCCGAAACAGCACCACAAAAAAAAACGTTTCGAAAGGGACACTGATGGCACAACCGGATCATCCCAAGTAGGCTTAGTCTCGATATCTGTCCAGATAGTTTAAACTGCCTTCATTTCACCACGCTTATCCTTTTACGTTAAATCAAATTGAAAAGCTGTGAAAGTGGTCGGGTGCGTCACGCTCATATAGGGACTCTTGATCGGTAGTCGTGCATTGTAAATGGATAAAGCTCGATTATATTATTGTCTTGAGAAGCTCTATGCATAACTTATATAGGCTAGAATGCAAACCGAATTTGACACATGTGACTATCTTGTTTGGTTCAATAAAGTGTTTGTAAATATCTATCGTTCTCATGAACTCGCGATTTTTTATGAATGAAAAAAGTAGTCCTGGTTATCCAATAACAACGAAT